TGGGCTGCGCTCGGCTCTGCTGGACCGGACTGTGATGGGTGCGGCTGGGCTTGGCTGGGCTCGGCTGGGCTGCGTTCGACTCTGCTGGGCTCAACTGTGCTGGGCCGGTCTGGGCTGTGGTGGGCTCGACTAAGCTGGGCTCGGCTGAGTTCTACTGGGCTGGGCTCCACTGGGCTGGACTGAGCTGGGCTCGGCTTGACAGGGCTGGGTTTGACTGTGCTGGGGTCGGCTGGGCTGAGCTGGGCTGGACTGAGCTGGGCTGGACTGTACTGGGCTCGGCTAGGCTCGGCTGGGCTCATCTGGGCTGGGCTCGGCTGAGCTGGGTTGGACTGTGCTGGGCTGAACTGTTCTCGTCTGGGCTTGGCTCAACTGTGCTGGGCTCTGCTCGACTGGGATCGGCTGGGCTGGACTCAATTGTGCTGGGCTGGGCTCAGCTGGGCTTGGCTTGACTGGGCTGGGCTCAGCTTGACTGGGCTTGGCTGGGCTAGAGTGGGCTGGGCTGGGCTTGGCTGGGCTAGAGTGGGCTGGGCTGGGCTGGGCTGGACTCAGCTGGGCTCCGCTCGACAGGGCTGGACTCAGCTGGGCTAGGCTGAGCTCTACTGGGCTGGGCTCTGCTGGGCTTGGCTGGGCTGGATTGATGTGGGCGCGGCTCGACAAGGCTGGGCTCAGCTGCGCTCAACTGGGCTCGGCTGGGATGGGCTCACAGGGCTGGACTCGACAGGGCTAGGCTCGATTGGGCTGGGCTCGGCTAGGCTCGACTGGGCTGGATTGAGGTGGGCACGGTTCGACAGGGCTGGGCTCGACTGTGCTTGACTGCGCTCGGCTGGCGTCCGCACGACTGGGCTGGGCTCGAGTAGGCTGGGCTATGCTCGGCTGGGCTCAACTGGGCTCGGCTCTACTGAGCTGGGCTCGGCTGCGCTAGGCAGGGCTCGGCTGGGCTCGGCTAGGCTCGACTGGGCTGGATTGAGATGGGCTCGGTTCGACAGGGCTGGGCTCGGCTGTGCTTGACTGCGCTCGGCTGGCCTCGGCACGACTGGGGTGGGCTCGAGTAGGCTGGGCTCCACTGGGCTGGG